AATGGTATCTGGTGGGGTAGCCTTAAATAAGGTTAAAATTAAGCCCCTACCCCTTGCCTAGCAGGAAGGTATGGGAGGCTTGAACACAGAGAGAACTGATAAGGCTGCTTTGGGTACCAAACCGTAGGATGGATCCCTTTGACCAGGAATGTGGAGGCAAGGCCAGGACACATTCTGTGTTAATGATCAACCCCCCAGGATTATCAGACACCCCTGCACTAATCAGCCCAAAACTAACTCTCCAAAGCAAAACTGACAAAAACCAGTTATAAAATGAGCCCCAAATCTTTCTTCACTTGCAGATCTTTCCTGTCTCCCCAGCTGCTTCTCTGAGCAGTGTATTTGAACAAATGTGCCTTTCTGTTCTCCAGTCTGCCTCTGGTGAAATTTTTCACCCCTGCACCTCTGGTCTGTCAAGGTATCATTAAGAATTTGAAAACCAAGCCCCCACTCCTTACCAGCAGGCAAGTTTGGTAGGCTGGGATGATAAAGGGAGTATGGATGGGACTGCCATGGAAACATGTACCTTAAGCTGGTGAGGCCCAGAACTGATGATCTTCTATGCTGATTCAGATCATCAGTCAGGACACACCCAAGACTAGTCACCCTAACCAGTCAATGGTTCTAAAGTATAAAGACTTGGGACCCAAACTCTGAGCAGTACATCCCTCCTGTTTCGCCCTCTGCTTCTTTTAGCAGAGTATTTCAATAAATTCACCTGGCCTGTTCCCATCTGTCTCTGGTGAATTCTTTCACCCCTGCAACAGGGCCTACACCTTGATTCTTCCCCACAACATTATATATCAATAAACTTTGTTAGATAGAGTGGTGTGATTTCTTATAAAAGAAAATGGAATCTAACCTCTTTAACTATACCAATGTTCTATCTACCCAAACCTCTACTCTTTGTTCTCTGAATTCAGTAAATAAAAATAAAACTTAAAAAAAAAAAAAAAGCATGGGCCTCCTCTGGTGGCGCAGCAATTGAGTGCTAGGCTGCGAAGCTGCCCGCAGCCTCTGCAGCACCAGTTCAATCCCTGGCCACCGGCGAGGGTCCCACATGGCGTGACAGACCTCTCCTGTCATGCCCACTGCTCCCCTCACTAGTGTATTTCGTCACTCTGCCTATTCTGTTCTCTGCTCTGGCTCTGGTGAATTCTTTCACACTCCCGCACTACTGACTGTACCCAGGCCTTGTATAAATAAATAAATAAATCTTTAAAAAATAAAAAGCAAATAGCAATTACATCTACCAAGTTGCTCAGGATAGAAAGTTTGGCAGCATCTTTAATTTCTGTCTTTCCCTCACTTTCTATACCCATCCAAATCAGCCCTATTAGCTAACATCCTAAGCAACGTACCACTCTGACCAACTCCTCTCTCTTTGTCTACTGAAAGTTTCTCGGTTGTTTTCCCTGTTGCATTCTTGTTCTCCTACAATCTAGTTTCCCCAATGCAAAGAGATTTTTCTCAAACACAAATTATTCAATTCACTCCACTCTCTAACACCTCTCTACATTTTCACAATTAGCATGAAAGTCAGGCCATCACCCTGAATTAGGAAGTTCTGAGTGACCAGTTTCTGTGAATACCTTTGACCTTATCTCACAATTCCGTCTCCTTTGTCCACATGAAACACTGACCTCCTGTTTCTTACTGAAGAGTGATTCAGTCATTTCTGCCTCTCTGTGCTCCCCTCTGCAATTGTGCTTTCTCCCAAACTTTGCTGTATGCATCCTGGTCTATAAGTAGAGTTCATATTGTCATTTATTGAAGTATTATAATTCCCATTAAAGAGTAATGTTTTCATAGCTTTACAGATACATACATTTTTATTAAAAATATCCTTAAGGGTTTCATATTTTGATGTTATCCTAAATGGTATTGAAAATTCAATTGGTTTCTTTCGATCCTTTGTACAGATCCTATCACCATTTGTTATTTCTCCGTTGGATATTTTAAGACTTATTTATATTTCTTTTTTTACCTGCCACTGAAAAGTCAGTTTTATCACAACATTCTCTCTATATCTTGATCACTAGAACACTATCAATTCTACAAAAGTACAGTGTAGTTTCTCAATAATTAGTCATTGTTTATTTTGAGTGAATATCACATATAGGTAACCTTGGAAAAAATAATTAACCTCTCTAAATCTCCTTCCTCAGATATTAATACATTTGTAAGTGCACATATTGATATATGTAATATATATAGAATTGAAACAATGATACTTATACTTCCTGATATTTATCACTATTAAATCACTTTATTTTGGCTAAAGTGTTAAAAGCAACCTAAAAAACAAAGTATTCTGAATTTCCTAACATTTTTGTTTAGTTTTTAAGCACATTGGTATTGTTAAGACCTATTGGATTTGTTAGTATAGTCCTTCTCAAAGGAACTATTGTGTATATAGTATTATTTAATGTTATTTTTCTACAAAACTAGACTCCATGACACAACTTTAGCCCCCAAAAAGAAAGACATGCTGAAAAAGCATCCTGAAATTACCTCTTGAAAATTTTAGAATTTAAACCTTACTAGTTCATTCCGACACTAGTAACTGTGCCTCCTTTTTTTTTTTTTTTTTTGTTTTGTTTTGTTTTGTTTATGCATGCACTGAGTACAGTCAGAAGCGCGGGAGGGTGAGAGAATTCACCAGAGCCAGAGCAGGGAGCAGAGCAGGCAGAAGGACCGAAGTACACTGCTGAGGGGAGCAGCGGGCGGCAGGAGAGGTCTGCGCGCCATGTGGGACCCTCCTCTGGTGGCCGGGGAGCAGCAGGGGATCGAACCGGCACTGCAGAGGTCGCGGGCAGCTTCGCAACCCAGCGCTCAACCGCTGCGCCACCGGGGAGTGTGCCTCCTTTTTTTTAATATTTTTTAAAGATTTATTTTATTTATACAAGTACCGGGGTGCAGGCCAGATGCGCAGGAGGGTGAGAGGATTCACCAGAGAGAGAGACGGGAACAGAACAGGCAGACTGACTGAAATCCACTGCTGAGGGGAGCAGCGGGCACGGCAGGAGAGGTCTGCGCCCCACGTGGGGCCCTCGCAGGGCGAGGCAGAGGCTGTGGACAGCTCCCCAGCGCCCGCCCAACCGCCTGTGCCCCCTGTTTGCTGTTCTCTTCACAGTGTGAGCGCGACAGTAAAGCATCTGCGCAAGGCAGGGCCAGTATGGGGATGCCTGGAAAAGCCAAAACCCAGGACGGGATTGCTCAGGACAAATGAAAGGGCCTCTCAGGCATTCCAAGGATTGTCGTTAAGTGGGAGCTTCTTTGATAAGGCTGAGAAACCGCTGGGGGTTCCCTCTGCCAATGGCTGTGGCCTCTGGCTCTGACGCCACAAAGAGCCATTGTGATGGCACCGGCACCGCCTACATCAGGCCCTCCCGGACTGCGCCAGTGTCCTCAGGAGCCAGGAAGCTTTGGACAGTGACCTGGGCACTCCGGACGCCGACAGAGTGAGAGCGTGTTTGGGGGTATTTGGTTTTCTTTTGGTTTATTTATTGGTTTATTTATTTAATTATTTGTTTAGGCTATTTATTTTAGTTATGTTATTTTTCTTTTTTTGTTTTTTTCCTTATTTTCCTTGATTTTTTTTTTTGCATTTGCATATAGTTTTTTTCCTACTTTTTCCTTTTATTTCTTTGTTTTTTTTATTTTCCTTTATTGTTTTGTTATTGGCTTTTATTTTTCTTTTTTCTTTTCTTTATTTTTTTACTTCAGTATTTAGTTTTGTGATTTTTATTTTTTGAGGGGGCTCCCCCATTTTCCCTTCTGTTCTTGTTTCATTGTTTGTTCTTTCTTCCCCTTTGTCGTTTCTCTGAGTTTTTATTTTGATTTGTTTGTTTGTTTGTTTTTCCCAGTTTTTAGTTTCTAATCGTGGTTTGTTCTGTTGTTTATTCTATTGGTCTTTTTGTTGTTCTGTTTTAGTCTTCAATTTAGTAGTTAGTTTGTAAATGGTTTGTTGTATCATATTTTTACATTTATATCTCATTTGTCATTTTTTGGTTGTGTAGTTTCATTTATTTGTAGCGTAGTTAGTATTGCTAGTAAGGTTAGTGAAGTTAGTATTGCTTGTTGAGTTAGCATTGTTAGTATTTAGTGAGGTTAGTGAATACTTTTTGAGTATTATTAATACTAGATTAATAGTACATTTGTTAATATCGTAGGAGAGTCAGCTGTCAGCGGAGGTAGCCAAGGGCTGGGAGCACAGTCAGGGCTGGTGAGGGTAGTCAGCGTAGTAAGTGCATAGGTGCTATGCCCCAGGGACGTGAAGTGAAAAGCTACCTGGCACTGCGGGAGCTGGGGCGGGGCTCCCACGCCAAGGTGACGCTGGCGCTGCACGCGCTCACGGGCTCGAAGGAGCTCATCAGGGGTGTCCGCAAGTCCGAGCTGCCGGACCTCCGCCTCCTGGCCCGTGAGATGGGGTGCATGAAAGCCCTTCACCACCCGAACATCGTGGAGCTCTTCCAGGTGGTGGACACCGGGCCTGAGCTGCAGCTCGTCATGGAGTACGTGCAGGGGGAAGACCTGCAGGACTTCCTGAGCAGGTGTGGGCGCCTGGACGAGAGCGAGGCCCGCCCGCTCTTTCAGCAGATCCTCACGGCCCTCAGCTACTGCCATGCCCAAGGCATCGCGCACTGGGATATGAGGCCCAAGAACATTCTGCTGACCCGAGAGGGAAAAGTCAAGCTGGCGGACTTTGGGCTCAGCGTCCAGGGCTTCAACCGGGCGCTGAGCACGTGCTGCTGTCGCCCAGAATACAGGGCCCCCGAGGTCTACCTTGGCCAGTGGTACAATGGCCCCAAGGTGGACGTGTGGAGCCTGGGCGTCATGCTCTACAGAATGCTGACTGGCACACTGCCCTTCGGGGGGGCCCCACCTCGGGGCGATCAGGGTGTGCATCCTGGGCATGTACCTCCAGCTTCCCGACTACCTCACGGAGCAGTGCCAGGACCTGCTGGCCAAAATGCTGGCACGGGACCCTTGGAGGCGCTGAGCACGTGCTGCTGTCGCCCAGAATACAGGGCCCCCGAGGTCTACCTTGGCCAGTGGTACAATGGCCCCAAGGTGGACGTGTGGAGCCTGGGCGTCATGCTCTACAGAATGCTGACTGGCACACTGCCCTTCGGGGGGGCCCCACCTCGGGGCGATCAGGGTGTGCATCCTGGGCATGTACCTCCAGCTTCCCGACTACCTCACGGAGCAGTGCCAGGACCTGCTGGCCAAAATGCTGGCACGGGACCCCTGGAGTGCATCCAGCAGCACGCCTGGGTAGCAGAAACCAGCAAGGGACTCCTGCCCTTCAGCGAGCCGTCCCTCAGCCCCCAGGACCCGGCCATAACCAAAGCTATGGAGCGCCTGGGCTACCAGAGGCAGGAAATTCGAGAGGCCATTGACGCTAACAAGTACGACGAGGTCATGGCCACCTACCTGATCCTCCGCTCCAGGAAGCAGGCGGGGGAGGAGGACTATGAGGAGGAGGGGAAGGAGCGGCCCAGGCGCGTCAACTTCCAGGTGCCAAAGTGTGTCACCTTCCGGGAGCCCGGTGACCCCGATTCCAAGGACTGCCCCCCACAACAGGAGGTTTCAGGGAACACCCCAAGGCCGGGTATCCTGCGAAAGCAGGAAGTCCAAACGAGGGGAAAGGATGCCACCCGGGGCAACAGGGTCATCTCCACAGGAGTCCCTGAGCTGGAGGATGCCCAGGAGCACACCGCTGCAGGGCCAGGCCGCCTGTTAGAGGATACCCCGATGGGCAGACCCTCCGTGCTAGGCCCGGTGCTGGAGGACTCCTGGGGGAACACCAGCACCTCTGTGGCCAGACCCCAGCTGGAGGATGCTGGGGAGCACAGCAGCACCACTGATACAGGCCCCCAGCTGGAGAGGGACCAGGAAAGCAGGGCCAACACAATCAGTCCAGCTCCCCAGTCTTCCAGCACCACCCTAAGACCTCCCCCAAGACGTGGCTGGCCTACCAGTGCAGTGGCCCCTTCAGCAATCATCAGGGCCAGAGATAGGGTATTAGAAAATATCCTGGAATTTTGTTGCTGCTGTGCAGCATTCGAATTGCAGAGCAACAAAGATTAAAAATAGCGCCACACCAGGCAAAACCTCCCCACCCCCAAAGCACAACCACTCAGTGGCCATGGTGAACAAGAGTACACCAGGTAAGGTTGAGGCTCTGGAGAAGCTCAGGGGCTGGGCCCAGTCACAGGGGCCAGGAGCAGCATGAGACACACGGGACTGCAGCACAGAAATATGGGCAAAACCGATGTCCCTGGAGCACAGATGTCCCTGGAGCAGAGCAGATGAAGGGCCAGGGCGGCCATGGAACTGGTGAAACACCTGGAGGGGAGCAGAGCAGGTGAGTGGTGGGGTGTGGAGGGGTTGGGGAGAGCTGAGCAGGTACAGGGCCCCAGGAGGGGTATGAGGTTGTGTGGGTGGCCCCAGGGGCAGGAAACCCTGGGCTTCTCTCCCCCATCATAGGCTCAGTTCCCTGAGGACCATACTGCCCCCTTGCTGGGAGAGACCTGCTGCTCTATCCTGGGCACAGGGATGGCATAGAGGATGCAGGAGCTCTTGCAAGGCTTGGGCCCAGGTGGTAAAACGTGCAGATTGCAAGGAGCAGATAGTGAGGCTCTCTAGCTCCCCTTAAGAAAGACTCGGGGACCAGTATATTAGAATCCAAACAGGACTCTTCAAGGTGGACAGAGTTTATTCACAGACCAGCCCTACTCCACCACAACATGCTCAGCTGGAAAATCCGCACATCTTCCTACACCAGGAAGCCCTAGGCTATGATCAGTCTCAGTCCCGCAGTGAGCACGCCTAGCTGTCCATTGTCACCTCGAACTTTTACAGCTTGGGATTCTTACAAAGTGTCAGCCCAGCTGGAATTTCCCCTTTTAAAAATCCTCTCCAGATGGCCACCCACCTCTCCTTCTCCCTGGATTCAAACCCTGCAGGGTGACCTTAGCCAAATTGGAAACATTAATATTGCACCATTCTCTGCCAATTAAATCACTGGGTACAGGAACAAAAAGCTACAGGGCAGGGACTATCTACCTTAAATTTGTGTTTTTTCATCATTGTTTAGATGGTGTTCAATTCCCTTATAAAACTAAGGTTTTGCTAAGTCTGGTAAATGCAAATGAGGTGAGGTATGTGTGTTTGAAAAAAAGAAATGTATGGAAGAGGGATATTCTGAAGGGCCTTAAGATTATGTAAAGCAGGATGGGTAAAATGAAATGGCATTAGAAAGAAAGCAAGCAAAAGAAAGTGTTGAAGGTCTGAGAGATTTTGGTGAGAAATCGTGGGTACTCAGTTGTCTCCCCCTCCTCGAACACATTCATGGGCTTGCTCATCTGACCAGCAAAGCCCCCTCTGATCGACACCTCGTCAACTGAAGCTGGGGCCAGGACATCCAAACGTGGACCAACTCTCCCTTAGTGCCATGGATCCTGCCCCTAGTAGGCCCGGTGATCATGATGATGCTTTTCTTTGTTTCTACACCCTGTTTTCTCTGCTTTATCCAGGAAAGCTCTCTGATATGAGCCTTTGCTCTCCCAGAGCCGGGAAAGCCATTCCTGTTATTGACAGATGAGCAACAGGGCGTTGCTCTAAGGGTTCTGGGCCAACCTGGGCAGTCCAGCGACCAGTTGCATATTTCTCTAAACAAATGGATCACACTGTAAGGGGATGGCAGCCCTGCCTGTGCACACTTGCGGCAGCTGCTCGTCTCACTAGACAGGCCTTAAAACCCACACTGGACCAACCTGTAAACGTTAGTTCTCCACATTGGCTCCAGGACCTACTCATTCACCAGGCTCTCTCCCCTCCATCACCCTCTTGTCTGTTAGATTTCTACTCTCTTTGTCAAAGACCCTATCATCTCCCTCTCCTAATCCTCGACTCTCCATCCTGCCAGGCCTCACGGGTGTTCCACTCCCTAATGCAGATAACACCCTCTTCTTACTATGGCAGACTCCATCACCAGTCAGACAATAGACCTGCCTTTATCTCAAAGATTACTCCACAGGTCTCCTCCCTGGGCATCACCTGGAAACTGCACATTCCCTCCCGACCGCAATCCTCTGGTAAGGTAGAATGGGTAAATGGTCTGACCAGAGACCACCTAACCAAACTCTCCACTGAGCTGCGCAAATCCTGGGTGGAGTTGCTCCCACTGGCTTTAATGCACCTTCGAGCCACTCCCTGTGGCCCCTTGTTCCTGACCTCCCTTGAACGGATGTATGGCAGACCTCCTCTTACTAACCTGCGCCCCTGGTCCAGGTTCCACTCAGCCTACAGAGCAGAGGCCCTCTGATTCTCCCTCCTCTGTTTCTAATCCCATCACTTCAAGCCACTTCCCGTTCTGTCTATGCCTGGAGATTCCAGATCAGCGCAGTCTCAGGCAAGGTATTAGCACTCACAGGGCCTCTGATCCTAATCTTATTTTTTCTTTTTGCCCCATGTTTACTGCATTTCATCCAACACCGGATCCAAGACCCGTCCAGTACCACTTTTAACCAACTCCTTCTCACCCATATCCTCACGTCCCTGCAAAGACCGTCTCATAACCAAGCCTGAGCCCTCACCCTGGTCTTCGTCCCCTCCAGAAGGAAGTAGCCAAAGAAAGAACCGTCGCCCCTTTTCCTATCAACAAAAGGCTGGTATGAAAGGTCGATGCAGGGGCCAGGAATGGGGAAGCCCACATACAAACAACAAGATGGCCCTGACACCAGTACCCCTGATTCCATCAAACCAAAACTGAAGCCATAAGCAGGAGAAAACAACTCGGCTCCACGAAAAAACTTTGTTCCACCTAAACCTGTTTCCCCTGCTGCCAACCCAGTTTTCCTGCCTAACCTCTCCTCACCCTATGTAATGACATCTCCCCCCACAACGGGCACAACTTCAGGGACCCCCACCTTGGGTCCGCGAAGCTCGCCCAGGGGCACAATGAATTTTCCCTTCCTTTGAGAAAGTTTAGCCTGGCTCCCCTTTTCTTTACCGCGCCGAACCTTTCATCTTGGTGCCCGAAACTGGAAGGCAGTGTCCCCTGGCGCCGGGGCCGCCTCCCCGTCCCTGGGACTCTCCTCTCCATTGCAGATGCCTCACATCCACCACTGGCCTTGATCCTTGGGGTGAGTCACTGCCTGACCCTCCTTCCTGGGAGGCCCTTACCCCTGGTTACCCGGCTCCTCTCCTCACGCCCATCCTGGTCGACTGTTCCATAAACCGTGGGCCTACGCCAGTAGACCCCCATTGCTACTGGTTCTGGTTTGGGGACGCCCATCCAGTCCAGGTGTCCCAGTTCAGGTGACAATGGAGCGGTGGAGACGTCCCCCTTGCTCGCCTGCCCCCATTCCAAAGGCATGGACCGGGTCGTGGGACGCCGCGATTCAGAGTCTGTGCCCCCATAGGTCAGATCAGGTCGTGGGATGCTGCGGTCCTGAGTCTGTACCCCCATTCACTGGGGAGAGGAACCGACTTAGCCATGGGGTCCACAAATTCCAAGCCGAGCCCGGCCACCCCTCTGGGATGCCATCTCTCAAACCTTGATCTGCTGGGACTCAGGCCAGATCTGCGCCTCAGCGTCTTGTCTTCTCCTGCAACACTGCACGGCCTCAGTGCCCATTGGAGAATGGCTCTCACTGGCCGGGACATGGTGCTTTCCATTTCACGGTCCTTACAGACCTAAACAGTTTCCGTCACCGCAATGGAACATGGTCAGAGATCCCTTGTGTCCAGGCTTGCTTTCTCGTGTGCTCCAGTCCCTCCCTCCTGAAAACCGGTCGTACTTCCCAAGTCTCCAGACTCCTCTCACTCTTCACCCTCTTCTGCATTCTCTGATCCTCTATATGTTCAGTCTTCACCTACTTCAGCTCCCCAATCCTGTCCCCGCTCCACCTCCCAGCCACCACACCTGCTCTCACAATCGTCCTCTTTGTCCCCTTAGGGAGGTTGCAGGGACCGAAGGAGTAGGTGGAGCCCACGATCCTTTCCCTCTGTCTGATCTCTCCCAGATTGAAAAGCATCTTGGCTCTTTCACTAACGACCCCACTACCTACACCAAAGAATCTTACCCAAGGTTACACCTAAGGTTACACCTATAAACTTAATAGGGTCATGATTACACGTTATCCTCTCTTCCACCCTGACCTCTAATCAAAGAGAACGTGTTTTTCAGTCTGCTCAAGGCCACGCAGATCAGATCCACTTCACTGACACAACCATGCCCCCAGGCCCTGAAGCAGGTCCCCACTAGGAGCCTAGCTGGGAATACCAGACTGACACTGAGCAGGTAGCGGGGGCAGGGCTCGCTGAGATGCTTCATCACCTGCCTCTTAGCGGGGCTCAAAGCAGCAGCCGGGCTCCAAGCAGCAGCCGGTCTCCAAGGCAGTTAATTTTGACAAGCTGCGAGAGATCACCCAGTTCCACCCCGTACGGAGGAGAATGGCAACTACACACAACGGCGAACACATGTGGCTGCTAGAACCTTTCATAAACCTGCCTGGAATGGGTTGGTTGCGTTACAACTGGCGTAGACGGCAGGACGGTTCAAAACAGGACCTCTCTACGTAGACAAAACCTTTGGAACCTGGGGATGAATTGCCGGGTGGCCGGCCATGAGCACATGCTACTTGGTGGCCAACCTCCTCGCCCAGTGGGCCCCTCCCCAGGAATGGCCAGAGGTAGATGGATCCCCGGGGCAGTTGGAACAGGCCCTGCATGAAATAGAAGAAACCCTGAATGCATGCAGTGCCCGCGAGGCGGCAGGAGCCATGGGATGGGTGTTTCTCACAGCACCTGCGAGAGTCTAGGCAGAAAGAGCAATCTAGAACCCAGCAAGTACAGGATGAGATGTGGGAAGAGATCCGGATACTGCAATGTTTGAGGATTCTGGAGGAAGAAGTTCAGAGAAACCAACCCACCATTCCGGAGATGCCAGACTCCAGCTCAAAAAGGATAGAGAGGGAGGCTGGCCCTTTGCCCGAATCAAAGCCAGTGGTGGCAAACCAACCTGCGACTCCAGAGATGCCAGACCCCTCCTCAGGAGAGGGGGAGAGGGAGGCTGGCCGTTTGCCCGAGTCCCAACCGGCAATGGCAAAGCAACCTGCCACCCCGGAGATGCCGGACTCCTCTGGAGAGGAGGAGGAGGCTGGTCCCATGCTCCGGGCCCGCCTAGTGGTGACTCAGAAAATAAAGCGGCAGCAACCCATGGCCCCAGGGGGGGTCAGGCTGCTGGACCACCACAAATGACAGAATTTACTACCTATAGACCATACACCCAGGCGGAACTCGTGGACTTGGGCAAACAGTTCCACCAGAAACCAGGGGAACCCTTGGCAGCCTGGCTGCTACGTTTATGGGACCTGGGGGTGGATGGGATTATTTGCACGGCACAAGAGATGGAGAGACTGGCCTCCGTGACTTTACACCCATCCTTGCAACAGCGGCTGCAGAACAGCCAGCAGTATGGCCAGGGCAACCACACCCTCCTGGAATGGATAATGGCTGCCATACAGACAGTATGGGCTGATGCGGGAGACGTGCCGGATACAGTAAGCAGATGGCAGACGTACGCTGAGCTGGTACAGGTACTTTGGGAATTGGGGATGCGGCAGGCCGTGTTTAATGTGAATACCCATGGTCCTGACGACGAGTGTTTCACAGCAGGGATGAGACACTTGGTATTAAAGAATGTCCCCTCATCCTCATTTGGATCCCTCAGGGCAGTTCTAGCACCCTATGTGGGACGTCAGACATACGACTTCCCAACAGTGATAGCCGGCTTGGGCGAGGTTGAAAGCCAGTGCTCTCAAACTCAGAAGGGAATATGAGTGGTTGTTGAAAAGTCAAAAGGAATGCCAAGGAGGGCAAGGAAGCCTCTTGGCATCACAGAACCTATTAAAGTTGCCCATAATCAAATGTGGACAGACTTAGTGAGAGCAGGTGTAGATAGCACTAAAATACATGTGCAGCCTAATGAGTATTTGTTGGAATTATGGCAGCAGCTACAAGAAGACCAAAGGTTCATGCCCATGAGAAGGACTGCTGGTCAGGGGGAGCCTGGAAGCTCCAGGCCTCAGGCGTGTGCCCTGCACCTGGAAGACCACTTGCTGCCGACCCCGTCCTCGGGTGATGGCCTGATCACTTTCAAGTAGGGTGAGAGCCAAGGAACCTGTTCACAGGGGATGGGCAGGGACCGGAGGCCACATGTGGAGCTTGCCATCCACTGGTCCCTGACTAACGTGCAAAGAGTGTTAGCTCTGGTAGACACAGGAGCAGAATGTACTCTGCTCTATGGAAATCCAGAAAGATTTCACAGGTCTACTTGTTGTATTGATGGCTATGAAGGCCAGAGTGTCAAGGTGACAGCAGTGAGACTATCTCTGGGGATTGGCCAATTACCCCCGAAAGAGCATAAAGTATATGTGTCGCCCATCCCGGAGTAGGTCCTGGGAGTGGATGTACTTCGTGGCTTATGGCTAGAGACCATAGCCGGAGAGTTTCACCTTAGAGTGTGTTTGGTAAAGGCAGTGGTGAGAGGACACGCTAAGCATCTCCCCACACAACTGCCAGTCCCTAGGCAAGTGACTCATACCAAGCAATATCAGTTGTCCAGAGGCTACAAGGAAATTATGGGCACAATATCAGAACTGGAGAAAGCGGGCATTGTGCACATTGCCCACAGCCCTGACAATTCACCGGTGTGGCCAGTGAAGAAGCCTGATGGCTCTTGGTACATGACAGTACGTTATCAGGAGTTAAATAAGGTAGCTCGCCCCTTGCATGCTGCAGTGCCTTTGGCAGTAGATCTGGTGGATCATCTGCTGGTGCCAATAAATGTCTTTTGCCACAGGTTGGTGCCTTGCCTGGACTAACTTGTGTTCTGTTGTATTTTGTTGTTATAGTGTGATGTAAACTATTTACTTTTGTGGGCCATAGCTGCATTGTTAATGTTTGCTAAGAAACAGAATTGTATATATGTAGATTGTCTGGCAGAAAACCCTGAGGGGTGGGACTCCCCGGTGGCACAGCAGTTGAGCACTGGGCTGCGAAGCTGCCCGCAGCCTCTGCAGCGCCTGTTCGATCCCCAGCTGCTCCCCGGCCACCAGAGGAGGGTCCCACATGGCGCGCAGACCTCTCCTGCCGCCCGCTGCTCCCCTCAGCAGTGTACTTCGGTCCTTCTGCCTGCTCTGTTCCCTGCTCTGGCTCTGGTGAATTCTCTCACCCTCCTGCGCTTCTGACTGTACCCAGTGCTTGTATAAATAAATAAATAAATATTAAAAAAAAAGAAAAAGAAAAAGAAAACCCTGAGGGGGTGGATTTTAGGGTAAGGTAAAAAAGTATCAGGCTTTTCTGCCCTCCCGCCATTAGGAGAGATGACGAAACCCTGCGGGCCTGAACGCATGCTTGATAGCGGCACCTGGAGAAAGGTGGGGGTGCAGTGTGGAGGGTGGAAGAGAGCAGTGGAGTGTGCAGAGGAGAACGGCGACTACAAACAACGGCGAGGAGCATGTGGCTGCTAGAACCTTTTATAAACCCCCCCGGAATGGGCTGGTTGCGTTACAGCGGGGTCCTGGGGTTCACTCTGGGAAAAGGTGTCTGCAGATCTCCCCTGTCAGTGGCATGCGGAGAGTTTCCCGGGCGAATTTCTCTATGAGACAGAGACGGTAGTTATATTTAAAGAACAGGTTTATGAGGGAAAAGGGAAAGGGACGGGTTTTGCTGAGAGAGGCCTGCATGGTTGCAGGCGGCCTTGACAGGTCATGGGCAGGCAGGAAGCTGCTGCCCTGCAGAGG